TTTATCATATTACATAGGATAACAATATTAACAATACAATAGCAATGCTAGCAATACAATGTATTGCCATAATTAGCAATTACTGTACATTAGTATACATATTTTAGCAATGGTTGATCCTTTTATGCTCAGTTTTATAACTCATGGTTAATTCTTGACCATGGTTTAACTTATTTCTTATCTCTTTTCAATTCTAGCATTAGAAAAAGATAAAGAATGAGTTAAATCATGGTTAAGAATTAATCAAAAGTCGTAAAACTGGACCTTAGAGTTTGGTAATAGCTATTACATGTATGAAATGATACCAATCAAATATTTGGTTAAAATAACCAAAAATAATGTTACTTTTACAAATATTTAATAAATATTAACAAACTGTTACCATTTGATAATACTTACTAAATATTTGTAACATTATTTTTTGGTTATATCAAACAAACATTTGATTGACATTTGATCTAATAAAGACGGCAAGTTTAAAGCAAAAAATCATCAGCAAATTGGATTAGTATAGCAGTCTAAAGACTTGATAGACGAGGACATTTTTATGACGTATTCTACATGTTACTTAATCAACTGCAACTGATTAACTGGATAGTTTTAATTTAAATCAGATCAATGTAACGCTGCGCTCGAAAAAAATTATAATTAAACTTTATTAAACGATATTCTCCAAGAAAGGGTATAAATTTTTCTAATAAAGATTTAATTAAAATTTAAATCTCAATCGATATACATTAACGGATCCTGCTCACAAACTTTCTTTAACGTTTTATTTTTAATAAATGATCAAAAAAAAATTGATTTCCTATAATTTCGCACAATTATAAATACGTACCCGTTGCCTCGCCTCATTGCGCCATAACTCTGTGTGTGCCTCTCCTTCAAAAATTCGCTCACATTCCTTCGTGAATAAGTGAATACGAGGCCCGCTGAGAATCTGACGCCCTTTGGCAACATCACGAAATTGTATAGGCTTCTGATAAACATCAAAGGGACCCGGCGGTGGATCGGTAAAGAAACCTAAAAAGACTTTATCTGTGAAAATCCTAGAAATACACATAGACAATTTTATCACTCGATTTTGTATGCATTACCCACTCGATCGATATCAATTTTTCCATGATGTCGACCAATAAGCGCGATATTTGTTGCAGGTTTTTCATTCATATTTTACCTTTTATGATAGCTATAACTATTGCATTCCTTTTTTTTTAATATAAAGTAACCTAAACTTTATCGTATCATAATGAAGACAATTTATGGGAAACGCGCACGCGATGTTCGTTTATCAAAAGAAAAACAACAGGATTTATTGATGTAATTGAAAGTATTAATTTTAACTGCATGCATTTTTCATACAATTTTATATTAGGTGTTGGAATTAATTCGTAGCGTTTTACAAGTGATGGGAAGTACTTTCATTAATGTATTTTTTAATGCTCATGTGAAATAAATAACATTCTTTCATTAAAAAACGCCAATTTTATATATTTTTAAAAAAAACGTTAATAGCAATTATATATGTACAGTTCGTACTATGAGAATCACACCGTGGAGTCTTGAGCATTAAGAGTGAACTTATGAGTAATTGACCTGGTTACCACCAGTAATGAGACATTCTTAATGAGTTGGTACTAGCGGATATCTACGGTATTCTCGTTGTGGTAACGTTGGAAACATTTCATTACTGCTTGTTTGGAGAGACTGAATACTAAAGGAGTCGCACATTTGCGAGAGAAGTGATTATAATTGTGTGCGGTCTGATCTCGTTAACGATAACGATAAGAAAGATTACAGAAACGACCTTTCTTGTGATAAAGGTCTGAAGTAAATGATTGATAATTATAACGCAAGCAGTGTTAAGTTACAATCGGTCGATAATTGCGAGTTCTTATTGTTCATTTCTCTACCATCTTCCCAAATCACATATATAGAAAGAACGGTTTATTGAAATATCTAAAAATTTAGTTAGATGCAAATCTGAAAATAAATTTGTTTGAATCATCAAAATAATTATATATATAAGACGCTTATCGACTTTTATAATAATTACCCAGATATAAATTTTCTAATGGGACTAATGATTGATTCTAAAATTTTTTATATAATAACATGTTTACGATGTTAAAAATTATATTAAACTATAGCAAATAAATATACCAATGCGTAAAAATAATACAATGTCTTTATTTTTATTTTAATTTATACCAATACATTTTTAAAGCTATAATTATAACGAAATTATTATTGTAATTCTTGTTATTGCACAACTCTGCAAATAACTTAAATGTTACTAAATTGGTAAATTCATTTTTAAAATTGTAAATAAAAATTAATTTTTAAAATATTTAGAAATAGTTAGAAAATAATATTTCCAAGAGGAGCAAATGATCGTCCCTAGTAAAGAAATTATTATTATTATAATTCTTATTATTATAGTTATTAAGTTCTTTATTTAAAGAAGTTATACCTTTTTAAAAATTGCATTATTTATCTCAAATAAAAAACTACAACTTAAAAATTAATTTTAAAAAATTACAAAATTTATTAAAATTTTATGGCGGAATTATTCTGGAGAGATCATTTTTGAGACGAACTTTTAACTTGCTTTGCTCAAATGATTAAACTGATTGCTAAAATGTTAGAACTTTTTATTGTCAAATCAGTGTCACACGTAATTATTTTATTATTTTATTATTAATAATAGTCCAACAAAATTATTTTCAGCTCTACATCTAGTTAAATTTTTAGATGCTTCAGCAAAACCGATCTTTTCATGCAAAAATTGAAACGGTCTTACATTTTCTTATTTCAAGTGATCTGACTTCTCGGCGATATCGTTCAACCGTAAGTTCTCGCCGCAAAAACCGAGTTCGTCTTTGCCCGTAGCCATGCGTACGTGTCAACCTGATAATTTCCACGGTCGCTATCTAACACCTAAAACGCTTCCGCGCAATCCACCGTATAGTTGGCGAAGCGGGGCGACAACGGCTGTGATAATAACTAAACTTTCGATTGCCGAGGCAAGCCATTAAGATAAGACTTTGAGGTGGCTAAAGGGATGCCCGTTTTCGAAAGGGAGTAGTTGTGGAATCCGTAAGAAATCGCACTAGAGCCAAAGAGCTGTGGGAAAGTAAACGGAAAAACGGGATGAAATGGACCTGCAAAAAGAAATCGACGATTGGAATAAGGAAGGGGAATAAGGAGAGGGATGGTAAAATAGAAAAAGAACGCGGATAAAAGAAGGAAGGACAGCGGGGATGAACGAGATAGACGAAAGTGGGAAGGTCGACGGAGATGTCAGCTGTGGAAATGGAAAAATGTTGATATACATCGGCCGAACGATAAGGCGGATAGATCGATTAAGATTAAACGTCTGGTCGCTGAGTTTAAGACAAGTTACATTGGAAACTCGGGGGAATCGCCTTCCGTAGAATTGAAATCAAGAACGTGACCATTTAATTTGCAAATGGGAGAAGAACGATTGACTCGCTCAGCTAAATTCGACTCGCCTCGACTCGCTGCATCTCCGACACTGCGAGGAAATCATGATAGTGCTTTATCCCTTGATTACCTGATATTCTCCGCAATGTTTGAACAATAACACACGATTTTTAACTTTTTGTGGACTGATGAGATTACACATTTGGGATTACAGGCCTTCATTTGGGATTTCATCCTTTTATTTTGTATACTGCTTGCTTTTTTATGAATTTTTATGAATCTTAATCTATAGGGTAATTTTTGATGTTATATTCAATGTTATATTCAAATGTGAGATCAAAAAGAAAAAAAAAGTTCAAAATGATTGATCCAATATGATAGAATAAAAAAATAATCTAACTATTATAGAAAACTCAGCTTTAAGGAATTTTTTATTTTAAAGTACCGCTTATCAAGTTTCTAGTTTCGCTTTATTTGAAGCCCTTCATTCCTATGCAAACTTAATACTGATTTCCAAACTGATTTTCAAACTCTGATTACGAACCCTGTGATACTAAGTCCTCCTTTATTGGAGGTTACTATCCTTTTGAAGTTTGACATTTTCAGACATTCAAACTCAATGATACCTATAAAACCTCCTAAATTGAGTTTTACTAAGTTTCAACTAACATAATCAGTTTATTTTATTTTATTTTTTTGTTTTTATTTAAATGTTAGAATTTTGAGGCTAGAATCAAATTTAGCAGTACTAAAACTTAAAAAACACAGATTTTCTTAAGTTTCTTTGTTAGAAAACTTCAGTCCCCAAAGGATTAAAAGTTGACGCTAATATAAGTTTATAGGAATCAGAAATAACCCTATTAATGAATGAAAATACTGTTTCACAATTAACTCGATAATAGTTCACAGTGTTTAATTCCATAACGCTCTCGATATGTAAATTTTACGTATAAGTGAGTGAGGTCATTGAGCGCCAAGTTATGCCTTCAATTGCCAACAGGAGGTCCAATCTGCCATTTTGAAAGCTAGGACAAGCGGAAATAAGCTTCAAAAAATTCTGTCTATTTTTTGTATGTCAGTTTAGATATTTTAGTGATCAGTATTACTCAGACAAGACATCCATTGGACGTCAAAATTTTGTTTTTATTTAGTACAAACATTCATGAGCTTAATATGAATATGTTTTTAAAAACATATTCGACATATAAAATACATTTACATTTGGATGTTTTAAAAATATCTATTTTGTATATTTATACCTTTAAATGTTCTCGTTGTAAAACAGTTATGAAATGTCTCTTTATTTTATAATAAAAAACTGTACTATAAAATATATACATATATATATTATATATATATATATATAAATATTAAAAAATATATTAACTTATATATATTATATATATGTATATATATTATTACTACATAATGATAATATTAAATTCTTCTTTTTTTTAATAAATATGCTTTAATGCTATGCTAGGAACTTAATTTGTTAACATATTTTTTAATATTTGTTCATAATGTAGCATAATAATAGTAATACAATATTATTAAAACGCAAGTTGATAACAAGTTAACTGTGTGATGTAAATTGCATTTGTTAAAAGAAATTCTTGACTAAAATTGCATATCCGGAAGCTGTACGTGACATCGTCGTCAAATGGATGCGGCAGAATCCGTATTTCTTGTAAATAAAAAAATCTGGAATAAAAGACGTAGCATTATAAGATTTTCCACTCGTATTCTAATAAAATGATTTTTTGAAAGGTTTCAAGATAAAAATAAAATAAATAAAATGTAATTTAGTATATTTCGTTTAATTTTGTGTAAAAATGATGCATAATATTCTTGGAACTAGAAATTATATAATATTAAATAAATATTAAATCAATGTTCCTGAATATTTGCAAGACACTGTAATTGAATGAACATTGGATGTTTCTGCAATGTCTTTTTTACGTTGAATCTATGCTTCGCAATGTTGCAATTCAACATATGATTTTGTATATAAGTAATTTACCAAACATTAAATGTAATTAATTGAATCTGTAGACAAAGACTCCAATTACATTCAATTGCGAACGGACTATCGCCGACTTAAATTTGCTCACTGTTTTAAATAAGTCCAATTTTGATCCGTTATATTCTTAAAATAGATCTTTTTGTCCAGAATAGACACTGGATGTTTTTAAAACATTATAAAAATATCTGAGATTCTATTTTGAGTGTGTGTTTAAAATACGAACGAAATTTTCAATACATACATTTTTAATATATTTTTTAAACATTACTGTGCTATCGGTATAACGAAAGTGTGATAAATGATTTTAATTTTAATAATTATTCTTTGTATATATTATTATACAGAGTATCTCACAATTACCGCATTTCTTCTTAAAAACGTATTCTTGAGATAATTTTGAGACAAAAATTCTAATACAAAAATGTCGAGGCTACAATAACTTTTGGATAATAATTGATTAAAGATTGATAAAGAAGTTTGTAATTCAAAAACTGTTATAGCCTCGATATTTTCATATTAAGATTTTCGTCTTAAAATATTCAAAAGAATCCAGAAATAATAGTAGAGGCTATAAAAGTAAAATTGTTTTTTATTTATAAGCATTTAGAGTTATTAGCTTATAAAAAAAAAATTATTGTAGTCTTGACATTTTCGTATTAGACTTTTCGTCGCAAAATTACCTCATGTCTTTGGAAAAGGAAATGCGGTGATTTGTGAGACACCCTGTATATATTATATATATTATTATATACATTATTATATTATTATATATATTCTTTGTATATTATATATTTTATTCAAGTGTTATGAGGAGAGGCATACACTCATAATTGGACTACAAGCTTCATATTATATTCATATTCAAAATTTTATTTGATGATATCCTTATCTTTTAAGTTAATAATTAGTAAGTTATGTATGTTTATAAAAGTCTAGTTTATATTATTATAAATGTTTTGTCATTATCTAAAAAGTGTGAATTAAATGTATGGAAAACTTGTGTTACATTAATTAAGAATGACCTATTTTCTTATATCTAAAATTTACGTATTAATAGCATATTGTATTATTCAATATCGATAGCGTTCTAAAGTTAAGTTTAAATACTATGCACGCGAAAGAACAGGTAATTGAAGTATATGGGACACACCGAAGATACTACTGTTCTCTAATGTCATGATATTTTCACTCTTGCAAAATCTTGTCTTGCAATCTTGTCTCAAATCTTTTTGGTTATTGTTTTACAGTCTATATTTTAAACAGGAATCGAAATTGGAAATCGGTAAACAATAACGAGTGTTTTAAAAGCTAGGTATCGTCTTGATTCGATTTCATCAGCAAGATAAGTTGACTCTGAAAATATCCGTCGCTGTTTTTAAATCACAGTATATTTAGAAAGATTGCAGAAAAAAATCGTAAAAATGTGTTATCGCCCTGGTTGAAGATGATTTAAAAGAAACATTTTCAGAAAATCCAATCTTCAGAATTCCAATTACTTTAATCTTGTGTTATCCATTTCTGAGAGGGTTTTCCGAGAAAACAAGCCGTCAATAGCAGCAACAATAATGGCATAATCATAAACACGAGATGTACAAACGAGTTATCTATATTCTACGGCACGTGTTTCTGGCACGGACCCGACGCGACGGTCTAATAGGGGTCCACAGAATTGCAGAATTATCGATATCGCGGTAGCATTGCAGAACCACGTCCATTAATTCAATGTTAGCCTAAAGGGGTTTAAATAATTAATCGAGGGACCTACACATCACGCGATTAAACACTACAATTAAGCCAAAGGTTCACCAGATATCCGTGCCGGCGACCACATCGTCTTTCTATATTCTCATTTCTCTAAGAGAGATACGAATTAGCGAGCTTTACAATATCCAATGTGCGATTGCGGATATAAATGGATCCTCCTATTGATGTAATTGTGAGATATACAGTTGGAAAATTTGATTTTAATTTAACTCAGTTTGATTACGATTATGTTTGTGTTAATTTCTTTATATAATCTTATATTTACTTTACTTTTACGTAACATTTGTGTAACATATTTCTTTTATGTTAAATTAATACAATAATTTAGATGAACAGTTTGGGACACAAATGTGTTAAATAAATGATAAAAATAGATATGATAAAAACAGATGCGATCTAATTACTTACAAAATATTTGACGTATCCCAAACGATCTACATAATAAATTATTATGCTAATTAAAATACAAGACGAATATAAGTATTAGGAAGTAACACAAATAATAAAAAAATTGATAAAATAATATAACACTAGCATAAAATTTGTAAGCATATTTTTTTAGTAAAATATTGTAATTAATAATTAATATGTTAAATTAACACATTTTATTCATTTATCTTAAAATTGATATTAGACGTAAGTTTTATTTGTTCACTTATTCATAAATTGTTATTGTAGCATTAAAAAATATCGAGTATAAATTTAACTCAAATAATGCAATCACATTTGTTAAAAATTTAATATAAAAGTTTTATCAAAAATCGATTTTAACCGATAATACAAAATGTTTTCTATCGTGTACCCATTCTACGATTTGACATTAAGATTAGTTGTATTGATATTTAATTTGATCATATTGATTTATATAGTTATATTTGGCATTGAAATTAGTAGCACATAGCAACTCTAAATTTTTACAATGTATCCCGCTTTTTCATTATTGTATTATACATAAAATCCCATCTTTTTCATCACATCAACCGTAATGCGCAACGTTACACTTTATAATTACGTAAAATTATTATCATATTAAAATGAAATAATTAATGAAAGAGGATTATACGTTATCTAAAATTAAATCACTTGCATGATGTTGAATTGTGTACGCACTCCCTGCTTGGGAGCTATCCTACTTGCCATAGTCAAAGAGCCGAACTGTTTATACTGACTGAGTGTCGCGATTGTTGGCAAATTGGCGGTGGACGGATCTGTCGACGATGGCCGGGGTTTGATGAAGTAATGGACGTTCTCTGTCGGCGTGTTGACCTGGCCAAGCCACATACATTGTAATGGTACGTACACAAAGCCGACAAGGCAACGTGGTGACTGCCAATACGCATTTAGCTTTGTACGTAAGCCCTCTATGTACATACACCATGTATCTGTACATGATGCGTACTGATGTAACATAAGCTACGGATTGTTCTTGAGTTCGCCCGCTTCTTGAATTCTTGTAGATTCTCCGATATTTCTCTGATATTTCTCTGATGTTTCGCGTGTCTAGATTCGCTAACATTTCACGGACATAAAATGTCTCTTTTTAAAATAACTATGTAGTACAAGACCCAATTAAATAAAAATTAAATAAATAAATAAAGAGTTACAAGTCTAATAGTCTGTTTATTACAAATTTTAAAAATTAAAAAATTATATTCCCTATATATAAAGCTATCCTAATTATCTTTTTTTTTTTAAATATAAGTACTATTTATTGAATGTAATGATTAGAACGGATTCTCTATATATTTAAAACAATAATAATAATAAGTAAATTTCAAGGCTAATGAGAGTCAGCGCACAGTTATTGATTAGAAAAATTACTTCTTTCTGGACCACTTAACATTTTTGACCGAATTTTGACGAATTTTAATTGTAATATTGTTAAGGATGACTCCAAAGTGAATTGAACGGGTTCAGATTACGAAATAAAGAAGATATTACAGTTTTATGAAAAAGGAATTTTTCTTATCAATAACATGCGTAACCCCTTCTGCGCTGACTTTCATTAGACTTGAAATTTAATTATTATTATTATTATATTTCTTCCGGAGTTAACGTCAAAATCAATAATAGAATTACTGTGATAGTGGATTTGTAAGATCTATTTAATTGAAAAGCATTAACTATAAATTTCAAGGAACCAAAACAGCATTACTCGTGTAAATATATTTTATTAAAAATAATCCAAATTAGCAGATGAAACATAAAAAATTGAATTATTTAACATTTGTAACAAAGAGGTAAAGGTTTATAATTGAGTGGATTTAATAGACCTACCTCAGTTCCGGATGATTAAAGATTATTAATCCATTAATACCGCTACGGCGATATATCCAACGAAAGGAACAATCGTAACCCAAAATGTTCACGTGGCGTGATTTTTATGGGCGTAACCATACAGCGTGCTGTCTGCGTCCCTTTTTTCGAGCATCCGCAACTTGACTGTGTCGAGATGATGCATAGCTCACCAACGGTACGCGCTAGAAGATTCCACGTGTCGCGCATCCACTACGTGCCGCTGCAGTACGAAATTATGACAAAGGGTTTATGTCTTTCTCTGCTCTGCCACCTCGCAAAAAGAGAAACGTTGCTCATGCGAGCAGTAGGACAATGGAGGCACGAGGAAGTATGCAACAGCACGGTCGAGAGCTATCCGAAATAAAGCGGTTTGTTTCAGCGGCACTGTTTTAGAAATATCTACCTACATCACAACGTACGGTGATATTTCCCTTAATCAAGGGTACCGTGCACCACAAACGTTGACAAAGGGAAAACGTGTTTAACGGTATTACGTGTTTCTAAATTGTGATTATTTTACATGTAATTACGAATCCTTTCATTTTTTCGCAAAGAGATAATTTAAAAGAATTCTATAATGGATTTTTAGCTCATTATATTTGTCATGAATTTAATTAAAATCAACTATTTCTTAATGGAAAACTTATTAACATATTTAAATACCGTGCGTTGCTGTCTTACGTCCCGTAATACAATTCTGTAAAAAAGAGAGAAAGAAAGAGGAAGGTACGTCGCAACGGTTACACGAAAAGGAATTATGGACAACGAAATAACTTGCCTATTCGAAACACACTCATGCGCGATGTTATGCCACGTCGTTTACGTCAACAACGGCGAGAATATACTTTACGTCTGTCCGCACTTTGTCTCTCTCTCTCTCTCTCTCTCTCTCTCTCTCTCTGTTTATGTCTTTCTCTCTTTTTTTTTCTTTTTTTCTCTCATTCACACAGCAAACGTCAGTGCCAACATTCTGATTTAGTATTTTTCCAGGCAGTGTATTGCTGAAAAGGGGAGCTTTTAAAAACCGCGACGTTTAACGCACCCAGTCTGCCCAGAGTATAGCATAGAGAAGGGGGAGGAAGGGATGTTCTTTTTTCTGCCAGTTCTCGTGCGCTTCGTTTTTTTCAATTTTTCGTCCAGCACTCGACACTCTAGCGAAGCCTCTTCCGGCGGCTTTTATCGTAGCTCGACTCGTCCAGTGAGTTTATCATTGTGTCGCTTCCCAGACCGCCATGAAACTCTCAAATAAGTCTTCTCGACCAACACGTCGAAGGGAATAATTGTTATGCTTTTTAAAGGTAGGAGGAAGTACAGAAGGAAAATATCATGAATATAGAATGAATATTGAATACGAGAACAATCACGTAATTTCCGGGCATGACACCGATTTCCGTAATCTTGCCAGGAACGTAATTATTAAAAACTTCATCTCTCGGGCCTGCGTCGGGCAATTTTTCTTTTTGTCGAATAAAATGACTATAAAGGATGCAATAGAGTCGAGTTAATGGGATATCTCTTCGTAATGGATGCTAAGTAATGTTCTCCCGACGGTTTTTTTCCCTTCTCTAGCGTAAGTCTCCGGACATAATTTGAAATAATAAAAGTTCATCAAATTTTTCACAGCGGAATTAATGCGTACGACAGAAAGGACTCAAGCTAATTAGCTATTTAAATGCCGAGACGCAGAGCATACAATGCGCCGTTATCTTGTGAAAAATGTTATCGTCGTCACAAGAAGGGAGAAATGAGAGTAAATACTCAAGATTAAGTACTATACATTTTATTGTATTCTGCGTTTGAGTTTTTATAAATAATGAACAGTGAATACCGACATTGAATGAGTTTTCTATTTCTCTCTCTCTCTCTCTCTCTCTCTCTCTCTCTCTCTCTCTCTCTCTCTCTCGCAAATTCATTCTCTCTCTCATTCTTTCTGTTTTTTTCACTCTTTCTCTCTTCGCGTTTACTGATGGACTGGGCATCATGGGTTCGTTCGCTTTAATCGCATTAATAATGATATAATAGTACCAATAACGTACAGATGTGCTTACAGACTTGCTTTAACCGTTATCGTGGATACATTAGTATGGATGCAGGGGGATGAAATATGATTAATGATGATAGAATATATTGGAGAACATGCGCGCGCGAATTTGCGCGGCATGACGCGGCGTACATACACCACACTTTCGCACGTCCTTCCCACCGTTCCGAAATTATATAGCTGCCCGCGGCTTAACTTCTAATTTCGAATTACATTATCGAACACACGTAGATTATTTCGCTCGCAATCTCGCGCTCCTGTACACCAGACGTATACGCAACACGCCCGAGTATGATATTACACAGAAACTTTTGCGCGAGCGATAATCGTTACGTCACACCGGGGTGGACAATGGCGGCACACTAGCCGGGCGAGGAAAAAACAAAGGGAAAATATTAAAAAACAAAAAAACACTGCTTATTCCGGAGGGCCACTTTTAATTAGAGATAATCTCCTGAAGATTAGCGAGGCCAAATGCAGAACTGTTCTAAATAGAAAATCATTAAAAGGCAATGTGTGCAGATATAAGCGTGTAAATTCACCTCGATATCAAAAATTTACAAATTGTATTATTCACAAATGAAACCTGCGTAATAATTGACTGTAAGCGATAGCTTCGGAATAAACGCTTTTAATCGTTATGTATATTTATATATATATATATATATATATATATATATGTATGTATGTTTCAAATGTTTACCAACGAAAATTTTACGAATTTTATATACGGAAATGTTATCCGTGATCCATTATCTCGTTTTACTATTATTACTTTAACGTGCAATATCTTCGGGGCTCACCTTGGATGGAAATTAAATATAAAGTAGTTTTTAAACTACAGTTATAAACTGTAAATATTTGTCGTTTTATTAAAACAATTGAAAGAGATTATTAAGAAATTGAATAAAAGAAACGTTTTTAGAAGAGATCTATTAAATCTCTAAATCTTAGGCCTCAAATATTTTTTTACGAATAAACGATGTTTGCTGGATATCACAGCTGAAAGCTTTCTCCTATATTCTTCGAAAATGAATTCCGCGCGTGAACAAACGTGGAACAAGCAAACAATCGAAACTGATGACATTCGGTCGTGTTGCCTGTCGGCGGGCGACAGCGAATAGTTCGCGTGTAAAATCTACGGTTCTTGCGCCACCGATGTAGTTATAAAACTGTCAGTCGTAGTTTGTGAGCTCGACATTAATTCGCATAATTGGGCTCTCGCGGATTTAAGACAGTCTGAATTCTGCAGTCTGCAGAAACAAGGACACAGAACAGAACTTAGTCTTGAAACTTCCATTAAAGAGATAGCGAAACGGCGCGAGAGATGAAAGAGACTGACGATAAACTGAAGAAGTGCAGGACGTGGGCAGTGACGCCGCGACAGAGGAAAACGCGACTGAATGGAAAGTTTGCCCGCAAAACGTTTGGTCGTCGTTACGATTCAATGCATCTCGATACTCGTCCTGGATTCAGAGGGCTTTACCTCTCTCGCTCGAAATAATAATTAAATTTATCGCGGGCGCTGGTTACGCGCGGATGTGGCTTTAGCGTAACGGATCGCGAGGCCGCACGCGCCTCGTTGAAATATTTTGCACCTGTTCGTGCAATAATGCTTCTGTTAAATTATCACATTACAGCCGGGGTACGAGTATCGCCGCGAGTAGAAACTACTGATTTACGCCAAACTAACCGTACATCATTGTCAGGTAGGGCTGCTTAACGGTTCATTTTCCATCGGCGCAATCGGTAATTTGTTGCTCGATCGATCCTTGTCCGACTTGTCGCGCTTTTACAATGCCACACGTCCTGTACATTGCAGTTCCGCCCGAGCAATCTGCATTACATACCTCATGGAATCGTGTACTTACCGCTATACCGAGCGAGCTGTAAAATTTCGAAAATTCAAATGTTTTCAATTCACTATTCAGTTTACAGACTCGACTCAAATTTGTAAAATTTATTTTGCATCTCTACTCGTGCATTACTTTTTTCCAATTGTTTCATTAAATTTCAGTAAATGTTTTATACAAATAAATTTAATATTTTTAAAACATGTATAAATTTATACGACACGACGCGGATTGAGAGCCAGCTTGTGCAACAATAAAAAGTTCATATATATTCATATAAGATTGCACGATTTTTATGTAAAATATAAATAATATGATATTGTCACGCTTTTCATTTTTATAATGATTGATAAATTATGTTATTATCTGAATTTACAAGAAATATAAATTGTTATAACATAAAATCAAATAAAACGTAAATGAAAAATTTATTTTGTAGTAACCAATATTTGAGTATACCAATATTTAAATATAAAGAGAATTTTTATACAGGAATATGTATATCCTTTCCTACATTTTTTAAAGAATATTGTAAAAAAGCATACAACAAAAAAAATATGCAGATAAAAGCATAAAAATTTCCAAAATTATCCAACATATCGATTTGCAGGCTAATAAAAATGTCCTTAATAATTGCAAAAGAAAAATGATCGTGTAAAATAACGTTTATTACATCCGCGATAATTACATAATTTTTTGATAACCAAATTTTATTTGATGTTCGTCAATGTCGAGCGAATGACGCACGATGAATAGATCCTCATCGGTCACGTTCATCGCATATTTTTCGCGCCACGAGCATGAAAACTACCAGTGAACAACGACGATGTATCGCAATTGTTGTTTTATGCTCGACAAAGGCGTCGATTTCTTTGAGCCATTGCAAGCCTCGAAAATATTGCTTCCATATTTGTCAGATAAAATCGAACAACAATAACTATGTAGATAAAATCGATCGATGTTTTGCTTCAGTTATTTTTTTATTAACGGTGATCGTAATTTTGATTATAGATGCCAATTATTATTATGTTAACTTTTTACAAATGATTTTGCGCTTTGATTCGTTTAATGAAAAGATTTGCATTTTGTACACACAAAAGATACTGATATGTAGATATACGTGGAATTAGTTCAAAGCTATTAAAAAATGACCCAAATTATAACATTCAATTCAACAAATGGGAATATTTTTATTATCCCTCAGACAACACAGAGGGTGCAATTACATAATTGCATAGATCGATTAAAAGGAAAAATAATTCGAATTTATATTCACAATAGTAAGTAGTGTCAAATTTGTTGGACGGTTGTCGTTCGACATTTCAGGAAATCTTATAATTAATCTCATTCTAAAAGTACATAACAGTTTACAGACAGAATATAAATTCAACAAATATATATACATATATGAAAGGTATATATATATATATATATATATACAAAAGTATAAATATACATTTCAATCTGCAAACTTTATAAAACGTATTTACCTCGCCAAGATTCGTCTCTTTCGATCGATACAGTTTTTCGTTGTTACACCCTCCGAAAAATGACGTACTAAAATTTATAGGGAAACGATACACCTTTAAATTTAATTCACATTGAAATCAATAAGAAATAGAATAATATATTTACCTCGCGATATATATTTTAAAATTCTTTACGGTATGAAAATAAAAATTGATTGTGGAATCAATCGAATCATCGATTAGCTAATTATTATTTTCAGCACAATCGCGAACGTATGCCATAGATAGTCTGGCATTACATATCACATGAACGGAATTTTCTTAATTAATGTATCCGCGTTTAAACATACAGACGCGCAAATAACATACGCATTAACAATGCATTGTCAACATGTTAGTACCGACAGTTCAAACACAAGGGAGCGACGTGAAATTTCTATCCCTCTTCCTGAAATTTACAGTGTGCGTTCTGAGCGCGAACGCTATTCGTCCTCCTCTATACGCAAATCTCGCATTGATCGCCGCTGGAAGCGATTAGTCAAGTTTCTCGAGAGATGCTCGGAAATGCTCTGTGGAAACTGATATACGCCGTCTCGCCGTACGACGAAACTGCGAGACGCGGTGCTTCATAGTGAAGCTACTTGTCCAAAAGTTAAGTCCACGATCGAAACGGATTCGGATGATATCTCCGTCGTTACCGCGCACACACACGTATTTGCATTTCGCGTGAGAATACCTATATATATCCTCGTCTATGTGATTCGCAGCAATTTCATGGCATTTCGGCGTGCGGAAAGGAACGGAGGGCCTAATGCCCAAAGTTTCCAGCCGTTTCGAGAGGACATTCCGAGTGCACGAGTCTCCATAGGGGAAAGAGAAAATTAGCACCATTCGGATCGCAGGTCCAAAATGTACCGGGGTCATCACGGTCACCTTAAGAACGATGATAGTGATATCACAACGGTAAAGATAAAGGTCGCCCTCGGGGCCGTGGTACCGCCGTGTTGCATGGCAGCCGGATTCTCTCCTGTAACAAAAAGCAGAAGCAAACGTCATTAATTTAATACGCTGCCCTCTCTCTCTATTCTCTTTCATTCCGATATTTTTATTTGCAATGCGAAGTATCATATTTTAAAGAGAGACCGCAAGTTGAATTTTTGAAAAATATTTGAAATGTTTACGAAAAATCATCGTCTGTCCCCGATATTTTGCTGATATTGCACCAACAGAATGTAGAGATTAAAGTCTGGTATCATTTTTCCAACACATAACGTTCTAACAAGTATTATATTTCATACGAATTATAGCTTGTGAGAAACTAAATACTGAACTTCAAATAAAACAACATATTCGTTACACTCTATAATAAAGTAATACTAATAGTTTTATCTTTAAAACAGAAAAATCAAAATTTAAAATTTAATAATAAGAAAGATTTCCAAGGTGATAAAAAAATGAGAGGATATAAAGAAAGTACCTACATGAATTGTACGTGTGAAATCTCCGTTAATAATTGAGAACAATATTTCTACTTCGAACTGGTTTACTTCAGACCGGTCGATAAATGTCTTGTTATTATAACGTTTTATTTGTTCCTTTCTTGTCTATCTTTAAATTACACTTTTTATTTGTTTTTAGCCTCGCATCTTGAAATTATTTACGCCCATTATCGTAGCGATTTTATTGTCTCTGCACACAGAAAAATATTATACGCAAGTAATAATTACTTTTTTATTTTAAGCATTTCAAAAATTCATATATTCGCAAATCATAAATTCATTACAAGCATCAAATTTATTCAAAACATGTTTTGTGAATCCTAGTAAGTTTAATACTTCAATCAAGATTATTAAATTTAAAAAATTCGATTTATTTATTATATAAAATCACTTCTTTGATCAATTTTACAATATTCTTCAAAAGAAAATAAATTCTTTGTTTTGAGTATATAGTAATAAGTTTTTCTAGTAATAAGTGTTTTAAGATAATTATTAAGAAAGTATTCTTTGTTAATAACCGTTACTTATTAAAAAAGAAGAAATTAAGTTCACTTTTTCTAGCAACAGAATGACATTTTTTCTGTGTTTTGGTCTCCTTTGTTGTGGGCTCCTAATATTTATTCTAATTATAAATTTCTCAATTTATCAGAGCAACAGAGCAATAAGGAAAACGTAAGGAGACTCGAATAATAAATCATCTCGTGTTCGAAAAGACGTCCAGTAATTAACTGTTAAAAGCAATTACTCTGAGAATAAGAATACTTTGTATATACACTGTAAACAATCTATTCTCAACTATAACAAGCGAAGCATATTCCAATGGACAAATGGAATAACGGTTCAATTCTTTTATTTGTTCTGTCACTGCGTACCGTGATAAAAGCCGAAAGATTGGTACACACACTGATTGTCCACGCCAGTATTTGGCTTTTGAATTGTCCAAAAATTCAAAATATAAACGTGAAGTCGGTCATCCATAAAATTCGTGGTAAAATATCAAATGCGACACAATCTCACGGGCGGTCGTCGCATTCAAAAGTGACAAGAATTGCGGTTTACACGAATTTCGTAAATGGCCAATCGAAACCGCTCGTCGCAATCGCGGAAAAACATTCTCTTTTATGACTTTGAAACAAATGCGATGTTTAGAAAGGAATTTTATGTTCTCGCTCCATATTCGCAGAATTCAATAATATAATTTGTAATAAAAAGTATTAATATGTATAATAATTAACCTAAGCCTCATATTTCGTTCGATTAATAACATATTTTGGATTTTACAGTTTTCTATATGCTGCTATATATATACACACACACACACACACACACACACACAATATGTGTGTGTGTGTGTGTGTGTGTGTGTGTATGGCAGAAAATTTCTGTACCATTCCATACGTAATCCAATGATGCAATTGTAACTATGTTTAATTATGAATACAATTAGGATAGTAATATACATTTTAATATCATTTGGTACTATAACATGTAATATTAGATTGCATTATGTGGTTATAGTGCAAAATCCATGTAAATGCACGCAAAGTGAATGTAAATATATTTGATAACTAAATCACATTACGTAATTTGATATTGGCTTAGTTTCGAATAGCTATCGGGTTCACTGTTCCTTTTTCTGCCCTCTATTAAATCCGTAATTAAATCGATAATTCATCTATGCTTTCTTAGCATAATTGAACATTTGGCACAATCGATTCCGAAGTTTTTCTGAGCTCGAAAACATGCTATCCACGTAGCAGTTTTAACGGCTAGTCATACGACTATCTCTTTCCAGATTCAATTAAACGCTCCCAGTAGAAGAAAAATTTACAACTCTGTTTACACGCCTTCCCAGTAAACCAGCTCTTAATCCTGAATTTTCGACTCGTAATTGAATCGTCTGAATATCGTACTCACTGGAGACATTTCGTCTCGTCTCACAACTCGTCTTATTGAAATCGTTTTCATTAATGCAGCAATGAAACGGAATTATACATGGAATCACGGAAAAAACGGATTTTGCTGAAATACATAAAGAAGAAACACCTAAAAGTAATTATGCTGGACCATAAAAATAATTATGTTGGATCGCTCAGACATAATGATAATGCTATAAAAATTTTAACATTTTAACAATCAGCTTAAACGTTTAATATAATTATTTAGATAAACCAACATAATTACATGGGAAGAATCATTTTGCTTAAATCTGAAAATTTAGCTAGATGCAGATCTGAAAATAAATTTGTTAAACTATTAAAATAATTATGTAGGAAACTCAACCATGAATAATGCTGCACAAAATTTTGATATTTTAGCAACCAGCTTGAGCATCCTACACAATTATTTTAACAATTCAATAAAATTATTATATTTCCGATCTGTATCTAATTTTTTAAATATTTCAGCAAAATCATTCTTTCCAATTTCTTTAGATTTTCATTTAACAAAATTTTTAAATACTTTAACAATTTATTATATATTCATAACCGTTAATATTAAAGGTTTATTTAATCTCATGTACAAATTGGTTTCAGTTTAAAATACAAGGTATCCTATAAAGATCGTAAAAAGTTTAACAATAAATTCTTAATTGAGATCAATTTTTTTAAGATGAAAATTCTAATACTAAAATATCGAGGCAATAATATAATAGTTTTTTAATTATAAGCATTTAGAATTAATGAATCATACAGCCTATAAAATTTACGCGTTCAAGTATAACGCAAAGTGCTAAAAGTGAAAGCTAATTGTTAATATAAAGATTACAAAGATAAAATTATTGATATTTCTAATTATTAATATTTATTACATTTAAAAGACTGTTATAGCTTCGATAATTTGATACATATTAGGAATTTCGTCTCAACATAATCTCAGGAATTTCCCCTCAAGCGTTGTTACGGTCTTTACGAGACACTGTATATGTATGTGTGTGTACATAACGAGCACACATACATTATATAATAATGAGATTAAAGCGAATTTTAGATCGTGCAGAATATTTAGTAGTTTATCTAATCAGTGGAAATCTATTCATTTGACACGGATTATGCAGAATATTTCGCTATTCGACCTCTGCTTTAATTACAAATTAATCAGCCGATCACTCATATGCCACACGCATACATATCGTGATACCGTAATGTAGCGTGCAAATTCGGCATAATTTCATTGACTTCGCTAATCACATTGCACATTGCCATCGTGCAAGTACGCAATATGATATTCGGATCTTCACAAATTTATCAAAGCTGATCGCAGATTCGATGTTCATGCTATCTCCCGTAATTTTGGTGTGAACACATCTATATTAAATTTCGAAGAGGCTATGAACTAAATTTAATTTCAAATTGCATCGACCGCTTATTTGAGTGCAGTAAAATTAATTGCTGCCACTTTGCTATCTCAGCGAGGACATGAGCATAAATTTTAATTCACATTACTGACTCGAGAATTGTATAATATTCCACGTAACCGCACGATTAATCACGCACTCGGCGAAACTCAGAGATATCAGTTTCTTCTGTTTCCACCGGTCTTCTAGAAGACGGCCCTGGAGCCAAGGTTCTAAAGGAACGCCTCGGTAGAAAAAGGCAGATGCGAAATGAGCTGTCAAGCGCTCTCCGGAGATTCCTTCTGTGTATTATACATGGCCATGCGCGAGCGGGCCTTAACTACATCTTGCGACGAGAGAGCTTTGCAAACTCCTCACGCCCGATCTTACGTCGACGATGTAAGGACGCGGAGATGAGGAGAGAAAGAGAATGAGAGGGTCAGACTTGACGGAGCGCAGTGATGCCGAAGAGGCGAGGCCAGACTTCAGTGTCATAGAAGGGATAGAGGCGGGTCGACGTGTAGTCCTCCTGGAGCCTGCGGCTACGATTATTAATGGGTAGGGCGTGACACCCCGCGAAATAACCTCTCTACCACCGCTTCTACACACACACACACACACACACACACACACACACACACAAAACGTACATATACATGCCAGAACCAACCGGCCAACTACTGCTCCAACTCCGAGTCACTTGTCTCCTCATAGGCATTAACTAGGCTAAGAACCACTCATTTCCGAGAACGAACAGTCCGCCACTCACGCGCTCTTCTACATTTTCCCATCGATCACTTTTATCCGACTGCTATTCCATCATTTTACATTTATTTCTATGTTTCTAGTGTCTCGCAACAGACTTAGTCTTCCGCCTTTACTCGAGTCCTTTTACTATTAAATTTTTTATTCTGTAAGGCGAAACGTGCTTATGTTACAAGAGATACCGGAATAGGATCTTATCGACGACTTTAATTTTCTACGAGAAGAGAACGAAAGTGAAAAGATCACAAAGTAAGAGAACGAGTAGAAATAGAAGGAAAAAGAGAGGTGTCGTGCGAGAAAGCCCTTCAGATGAACACGATGAGATAGTACCGAGTAATGGTGCTTCATCTCCAGTCCAGCTTGCACTTAATTAATAATCACGGGCATATCTCGAGAATAATTAATTGTAAAGAGGTGTTCTACTATATCGTAAGGTATATTAATTGGAAAGAAACGATTAGAAAGGCTGCTATAACTACGTCAAGCATTTTGTTGCAAAGGAACCAAAATCATTCCGTTTTTTTTTTCATTTTCGTAAATTCTACGTCAGAAGCAGCTTTCATTGCTTGGTATAACTGTTATATCCAACGCATTCTCTCAGCGCCAACAAGTGCGGTTTACATTTGCATACTAAACTGAAGAACTGTAAAGTTTATTTAAATATTAATATTGCGTCGCATTTAAACTGTAATATTATTTTATTTGTTTTGCATGAATAAAATAAAGACTGACTGTAATATTTCTGTTTATATTTTTCTGTAATATTTTTCTTTATCTGGCATACAGAGATATATTACTTCTTTACTTAAAAAATGGTACAATTTAAAAAGTATGATTTTCAAGAATAAATGAGTTAGGTAAATATTTTACGCTGCAATATGATTTTATCTTTTGGTAAATAAAATAAAAGCTGACTATAATATTTCAGATACTTAATATTTCTTTGTCTGGCGTTCCTTTATTTAAAAAATGATAAGGACATGAATAACCTAATTTTTTAGTTATTATTATGAACGAGTTAGGTGAACATTAACCCTATTAACTTCGTAAAAAAATCGATAGACAACATTACAATTCAAGAAGGCTGATTTAAGAATTGAAGAAACAACGGAAAAAATAACGAAAATAACATTTGATTATGTTAAGAATATATTATTTTTGCTGATATTATTTGATTAATCTCAATAATTTTCTGTCAATTTGAAAAATAGTTTTTCCCTTCTTCTCAATTTTATTGATTTGTGTTATTTTGAAGTCAAGGAACGATATATGTATATATAATATAATTTATTGGAACCATTGCCAAAGATGGTTGTAAGCTTCCAGAGCTATTATAGTTAAAGAGGGGAACATTTGAAATCCGATGGCCATTTCATGCAAAGCACGACTCGAAGAATCGATCTTCGATTGATCAAGGTATTAGGATGCGATTCGTGTGACGATCATCAAAGATGACCACAATTCTCGGCTCGCAAATTGCTCACTTCGATGGACATCATTAGTGCCAATCGCATGCATAAACGGATAAACGAGCCAAAGTCGGATGTACGAAACATTTCACGATGCATAGAGCTACATGAAATTTCAGAACGTGGATCGACTCTCGCCATGGCAAACTACTTTCAAATGCGACCCTCGAGCGTCCGACTACTTGTCAAGCAAATTCGCATTACTTCCAGTATTATGATCGCTCTTGTAGTTACTAGCATAACACCTGCGGTAATAACTCTCCGACTTGCGCATTCCGCATACTCATCAGGATGGTAACGGTGGCTTAACTCTAACTCTACTTGGTTCATACCTCTTGCAGCAGATAATAAGACACTTGTTTTGCCGATAATATGTTTTCGTAGGAGGAACATAGTTAAGAATGTCGTCATGGCCGGGTATTGATCGAACACGTCTAATTAAAGAGTAAGTGCCAAAGGGCGCGCGTGCATACGAATTTAAATGAAGCATCTGATACAAACTACGGAGATCTAACTTTCTAAACTGCCTTTCGCAGCGAAACAGAGTAGCCGTCGGTCGAGCAACTAAAGATTATTAACGTCGTTTCGCAAAAAGGAACTAGGTAGATTATATACGTCGCGACCAAGCATTTCCTTGAGTGCTCCCTCGTCAAACTTTGCCGGAAGAAGATCGAACTCTCGTATTGGGCCGACTTAAGGTAATCCGCCGTAAATAATGCACATCACCTACATAGATGCGGCGTCTGTGAGCAGCCCCGGGCGCGAAAAGCCGCCGTGAAAACTCGTTGAGCTCCTTCGCCATAAGTTCGAAAGACGTTTCCCCAACCCACAGTATCGACCGTCTTGCAGTGGCATCGCCCATCCGCCACTATAAACCTTGTGTTTAGCGGCATTTCCCACAAGAGTACGCGTCATCGACTCGACTTACGTGCTATTTCGTCGTGATACGAAAGTTTCGTGGTTTACGTCATCGTGAGATAAAAGAGAAAAGCGCCAGGGAGAAAACAGCGAAAATGTCATTCAGGAATAGATCAAAAGCGGAAGCAACACGCTGAAAATTGCTGATCGTCGAACAGAAAAGCAGTTCAAACTAAACATATCCGGCAATTTTCCTGGATTACGGATTGCATCGGTGAATTAGGACAATACATTCAGTTGTTTAACCGAATTAACTCGGACGAAATCGTATCAATATTTAGCCATGCCAATCCCACCGAAGAATGATCATATTTGTCTATTTCCCATCAAATTGTACATAGTATGATTTGTAACTTTGAATATGAATGAACTATCTATCAACACGATAAATTAATTCTACTACCTCGTGCCTGATATTTCCAACAGTAAAACTTCCCTTCCTTTACATCGCTTCCATTAGAAGCATAAAAATTTACTCGCTACGGCAATAATATGCATTATAATGTACATTTTAAACACTAATTTGACTATGTCATGAGAATGAAGAAGATTACAAATAAAGGAAGGAGAATTTTGCGACAGTCCGGCTTGCTGAAGAAAGAAATGGGTCAACCTGTATATTCCCAACTTTTATATGAATACACCACGCGTTGGTTCTAAACAGAAGCACACGAAACAGTACAAGTTACTCACGAGAAACAAAAAAAAAATGTACGAATAAATACAGATGACAGCATAAGAATAAAGGCAGCATTTTAGTAGCATCTTAATGACACTTCGATATATAGTCACCCCTTCCACATTTTATTCTCACATTTCTTTCTCCCCTGCACCAAGGAAGTCGATTATTTTCTATTAATACAATCAAAAAAATGTCATTTGGTGCAAGAAACTCGTTGGCAAAACGGAAATGGAGACCAAGTGAAGATCACGAAGAGCGATCGAACGACCCGTCAATGGCAGCATCTCCAACTCGGTCGCGTCCGGCGCCAGTTATTTACCCTGATGAAATCACAGCTTTGTATTCCTACACGATCGATTGGCGCAAGAAGATGTGAGGAGAAGAAAGCGAACACCGACCTCTTGGAGCGTGAGGTAGATGGAGGTGGCAAGCTGAGAAACGGAAGGCGGTGCAGGAAAGAAAAGAGAGACCGGTAATAGGCATTGGCGCCGTTGAAAAGCCGTGGAAAATCAATTATCGACCGTGCAAAGGAGTGGAAAATTATATCGATAGGCGCCGTACGTCCCCACGAAGGTGACTGGCATCCTCCGCTGCTTTCCTTTAAGTCTGCCAAACGCCGTTATCGGTAGCGAGCAGAGTCTGATCCTTTGAACTGTGATTTCAAGTGCGACTGATTGCTTGACTGGGTGAATTCTCTCTCTGATACACAATTATAAGAGAACGACGAATTATCACCCGAGACATTCGAATCGCGTGACGAATGGTTTCATTGCATCAGAGAAACACGAACTTTCCCGCTAATTTTAACTACTCCCCTTAAATTTCATGTAAAACTTAAGCAAACAATGTTTCCCATTTGCATCCGGAAAATATATTTCTCGGGGAAAACATTGATAAATAATTTTGAACTGTTTATTTATATGGTTTTTAATGTATATTCACTTATTTACGTATTGTAGTTTAATTATATATAGCTTTTAATGAATTCAATTTATTTTATTGGGCGAGTTTTACTTATTAATGTTTTTGATGTTTTTTACATCGATATTGTCACGTTTCTCTTGCCTCGCATATCAACGACATATGGAAATGCGTTGAAATATGAAAATATTCAAAGCGGAAGCGTACCGTTTAGCACGTGGACGGACACTATAGTGGCTGCTGCTACGTTCGCCAGAGCGCAGCTATAGTTCCCGCTGTCCTTTTTATTCGCATTTGCAATGTAGAGCCTAGACACCGCACCAGCTGCACCCATGTCCGTCTTGACGCTGGAACAGAAAGCAAAATATGCTCTGTATAAACCCTGACAACAGTGTCGTTATTGCGCGTGTTTCCACGTCGAAATAAAGAACAGATGGTTCTCTTAGAATTTTTTCGAAATGGTTTTTCGAAGGAGAAATAGAGTGAAATATAGTGAAATATAGTGAAATAAAGAACAGATGTGCTTCGTTCGGAATTTTTTCAAAACAGTTTTTCGCAAAAGAAACATAACGAAAGTAACATGTACAGTCCAAGATATAAAGATGTGCTATCTAAAACAAATATATATACTTCAGAGTAAAAGCCTAAGAAACACTTTTTGAAAATTGGCATTTTTTTTAATTTTTATTTACAACATAAGTAATTTTTAACAATAATTCTCTAGGTTTAATAACGTTTATTAGATGTAAAAGAATTATTGTTAAAGAAACATATTGTTATGAATATTTAGATAAGTAATCCCAATGTCAATTTTTAAAAAGTCAATTCAAAATTTTTTGCTTGGAATGTATATGACAAGATAAAAAAAAGAAGCTCACAGAGGTGAATGCAGTCTCTTTTTATCCTTAGATTTTATTTAACTGATTAACAAATTCTTACTTCGTACAATATATTAAATATATATATATATACACATAATTTTAAAGCGTTGAAAGTAATGCTGATGACAGACGACGATAATTTAGCGATAGCAGGTGGTAGTAAGAACGTTCTTGAAGAGTTCTTTGAAGGAAAGAATATTAAACCGAGGGCAGTTTATATCAGAAATTTATCATTTCTTTTCGTGCCGACAAAAAAACTTTTTTTATACCACATTGTAACACTGGATAGTAAACAGATTCGCTTCGCAGTTCATAACCACATTGTGCAGACAAACAAAAATAACCACCCTCCACATGTAACTCCTAAAAAATTATACGACGCAAATCTCTCCCCGCAAAAAAAGCTTATCTGAAACGTACATAAAAGAGTATCCCATAAAATTACCCTATGAAATATTATTTACTCAAATCCATTTATTACTTTGAAAATATTCATACGCGGATATATTATGAATAAATAGAAATAATTAAAGAGAAAGCACAGGATGTATAGATGGCAAAAGCGTACAGTGTACGTAAATGTAAATGTAAATGTATCGGTTAATATTTAAATAAGCATGGTAATTTGATATATAATATAAATAACTGAGTCTGTTAATTCATAGACAAGCAATTAGTTTTTCTTGTCCTTGCTCAAAATACCTTACAGTGGATTTAACGAGTTTTGCAACTACAAGCCTCGAATATAATCGTTTCTAAGAGAACTTTCTAAGAATCAGAAACTCGTTAAGACTCTGCGGGGAAATATTCAGGAGGCAAAAGTTATGCGGGTAACGAATCAGTCGAAACCTTCGTACTTCGAAATAGGCTTTATTACTACTTCGATGCGTAGGAAGATCGGCAAACTTCGTAGTGAATGAACAAATTGCCACGGTGGTTTGTATTTTCACGCTGTCATATTTAAACTTGTTTACAGGCAAAAAGTAAGATAAAAGTTAGCTTTTAACACTTAGGACCATTCACGTCTCTAGCGAATTAAGCTGATGAAATAGGGCATTCAAGGGAAGAATAAGAGAAAGGCGGAGAAAGGCAAAGAGGATGTTCCGCGAGTGAAGATGGAAGAAAGGCGTAAATCAAGTAGTTCGCCCTCCAGCAGCTGGCCTTGACAGATCGGGTACTCCTCCCAAGCTTTCTTACCACCGATCCCGAGCAAAAAGAAAGAGAATAGAGATCGGCGCGGCGTGCGCATTGCATACGTCCACCCGGTAATGCCGTTCGTATTAATTTCACACGACGTTATCTTGTCCAAATTACATTTGAGGCGTCGCTTGCATAACATGTCGTACGGAATTAAATGAAATTCACTTGTTGCGAGCCTGCGTGAAAGTTTGAAGAATTTCTTATTCCCGGCTCAAAGATACGCCAGAGAAAAATTGGATCCTCGGAAGGTAGTAAAGGCGAGGAAAACTGCTGCACCGCGATATAAGAAAAACGAGGAAAAAACGAGCTGTCTCTACTTTGAATTTTTGAATGTTTAACGATGCGTGATGGTTGCTTCAGACATACACACTACATATGTCTTCCACATATCCATTTCGTAGAAAGACCTCGTAAAGAAAATAGGACGAAAATAAAATGTGAAAGTAAGAAATACGTTATGAATGTATACGCGCCTATATATAGAAAAGAAGTACAGAAAGAGATCGAGTGTAACATTTTAAGAAAATAGACATGCCGATGATGCCAGAAAAGCCAGAAAGAGAAGAATGCGGTACAAACAAACAAAAGAACCATTAGATTGCTTTAAGAATTCATTCGAATGGTCTGGACATCGCGAGACGTATCTCCATTTTCCTTACTACTTCACCAACAGCCATATCGTGCTTCATCATGCCGCAAAACTGTTACGGTAAGGTCCTTTGAGAGTAGCATGTTAAGTACTTTCCCAAGAATGCAATGAGCATTACTGTTAAGAAATGTTAAAAGCACTTGTTGCCATATCATTATCGTTACCGTTAATACTGTGCCGTGTTTCCACCTTTTTCAATGCCATTATCACACGTATGCTCGAAGTCCGCTAAAACTCTACTAATATGTACTCCATAATATAGAGCCTTTAACCTTCCAAAGCTGACGTTAAAATCTGTAACACAATTACCGACACTGAGTCTGTGAGATCCATTTAATTTATGTTGACTAAAAGGCATTAATTAATCTCAAGGACTCAAAATGACATAACTCTTATAAAAAAAAATGAATAAATTTATTCAAATAAATGAAGAAGGCCATATTTGGTCAAAATGGATCTTGGATTAAATTTATTTTCATAACAATAATTCAAATTGGCAGATATAATATGAAGAATATAATTGACCAAATCTTATCTCGTCACTTCCGAAAGATTAAATGTCAACGGTCTTCAATTATACATTGGCGATCTTTTTAAATCAGAATATATATTGTTGAAAGGAAAAGAGAGAGAGAGAGAGAGAGAGAGAGAGAGAGAGAGAGAGAGAGAGAGAGAAATATTTTACGGGGAGAAAAGAATGTATACAACAGTTAGTGAGTACGTCAAGGATGATTCGTGTACAGCATGCACACGATCGCTTTGCCCATCAGAAGGGCAATGCAGTAACTCGTGAAACATTGATCCAGCCATTCTAGTACGACCAAAATTTTCCAACGATTGGCATCCGGGGACAAATCACATGCCATTTGCCGTTGCACGACCACCCTCGCATGCGGGGATAGACATCCGTCACGTTGCGTTGCGTATCGCATGGCTATTGTATGCGGTTGTGTAGGATCGTAAACACTTGTTTTATTATATTTCATTTAACCGGAAATGTATTTTCGAATTTGTTCCTGATATCTGTTGACACGTCGTCGTTCAGTTCAGCGTCGAACGAAAACGTCAATGAATCGTGCTGCTCGCAGCAGAATTTAGGACAGAAAAGGTTAAATCAGTGATGTGGGAGATTAAATATGTGTACCGCGCGAAAAAATCGATGGCATGCCTCCGTGAATTTTTTGAATTTTTACATGTGCTGCGTTCACACTTAACTTGTTGTGCAAAAAAATAGAACCGAATAGTATTCCTCTGTACGTAACTCGTCCGCATAGCTTCTCTATACTCGAAAGAATTTAATTTTGTGCATTGTTCTTAGCTCGCCTGTATTGCACGGAATATCTGGAGATAAGAAATATACTCATGAAGGAAACCTCTTTGAAGATATATGCTTCAGATATTCAATATCACTGATGCTTAATAAAATTTCTCGATAGAATCACTTTTCCTTCAACTACCTATCATTCAATACGTTTTAAATTTTACAAGATTAAATGAAAAAATTATTAAATTATTTTTACTGTTACTGACATATCTCATTAAATTTTAAGAAGCACAGTATATGATTTTAACATTAAATCAATGAATTTGACTTATATATTTTTTTGCAACAAAACAAATCAATATGCCTCATTCAAGCATAACATGATCCGTTTCCAAGTTAATGTAACATTTTGTGTCATATTTTTAGTGCACGCAGAACAAACAGTTTATCGTATACCGAACTATTCTGATGGAGAACAGTTCGGTTTATATTGTCTTTCTCTCTTTCTCTTCGCCGAACACGGATTTTTTTTTCATCATACCATGGAATTTAATTTGAGCATAGAACGCAAAATTTATTCTCAAATTCTTCTATACGCAAACTCCACCTCCTTTGCGTTCGACCTAGAAATTTTTTTCGCTTACGGATCTGCAGTGAATTGCACAGTGGCAGTCAAGTAGCTAGAGAAATTTAAAAGCTCCCAGTATATTTTGTTTCTCTCGCTGATTATTTTCTTCTTTTTTTTTACATCGATGCGTGAGCGATATGCGTGAGATGCTTGTATTCATACGTGCATCTGTTAACGTTAGAGCGATAACGTTTAAAGTTTTAACGTTAGGCGTGGCTTCATGAAGATCGTAAAAGGCTTGTGGCGTCAAATTAAAATGCGTAAAAAAATTAAAAAAACAGCTTGTGAAAAATACTTTTATGGATCATTACGCAAGAAATTGTCGATTCGGTTCAATTAGATAATTATTTAATTGGATAATTATTGTTTCTCAATGATTACCTTATCTGCAAAAGAATCCCACAAAAGACATCTTATATTAGACAAGAAATTTTTATTGCCTCGAAATTATAGATCATATTTATTCAATCGGAATAAAAGGATAAAAGGAGCAGCATCGCTTGATCCTTGCACTTGATCTTACACGCGGAAAGCATGCTCTCAAACTGAATTCATTATATGGGCGAAGTATTTCCTACCATTCTTCTTCTGTTCTTCATTTCAGATAATAAGTACTCTTTTCTTCGATATCTTTTAGCGTAGAAAAGAGCTTACTCCTAGAACTAACAGATTTTATCAAAGATCCTAGAACCGAGCGATTTTATTAGAGTTTAAGCTCAAAAGAT